AGTTAACAACTTGACTAGCTCGAATCAGGTTAAGGATTCCTCGAAGCATGAATGAGCAACTAATCAAGGTTCAAAAGAGAGTATTGCCATCCATCAAAGCTAGAGGATTGGATTTCAAGGAGTTAAAGGTGGAAGTGGAAGAAGATGACTGAAAGTTTGACATCATACATTTTCTAAAATATCTAATAAGGGATGTAAAGTAGGTCAATTGCTAACTACATACTCATGGATAAGGAGTCGTATAAGAAAGGATGCATGACGACTTGTTGTTAAGGTGCATCGACCAAGAAAAGGCCACTCATGTAGTGGTTGAGAGCCACAAAGGCATATGTTGTTTGCATCAGGCCGACATTCAAATGTGTTGGCTTATCTAGGGTTATGGTTATTATTGGCCAAGTATGTTGAAGGACTATATTGAGTATGCAACAGGTTGCCAAGCATGCCAATTCCATGGCCCTATCTAGAGGACGCCAACTATACAAATAAAACCTGTAATACAGTCATGGCAATTTAGAGCACGGGCCATAGATTTGATTGAAAAAATCTTTCCCCCTTCTACCAAAAAAACATTCTTTTATCATCTAGGCCACCGACCATTACACTAAGTGGATAAAAGTCATCCCAATGAGAATGGTCAATCAGTGCGACATCATTCGAATGATAAAGAAAAACATAGTGCACCAATTTTGGCTTCCCCAGCATATAGTGGCTAACCAGGGAACAGTCTTTGTAGGAAGCAAAGTTAAGTGTTTTGTATAGGAATATGGCTTAAATGATATTCATTCAACCCTATACTATGCACAAGGAAACAACCAAGTTGAGTCTACAAACAAAGTGATGAAAGGAATTATCACAAATATGGTGGAGGCCAATCCAAAGGGTTAGCATGATAAGCTATCAGAAGCGTTATTGGCATACAAAATGTTTAAACGGTCCAACATCGGAGTTACACCATTCAAGTTAACCTATGGGCACGATGTTGTCTTGCCATTGCCAGTGGCTTTTCAGTATAATCTGAGTCCAATTGAATTCAATGAAGCCATGATGATTGAGTTTGAAGACTTAGATTGAATGTGGTTGGGCACTTTAGATTGCATTAAGTTTCAAAAACTAAGGGCCGCTAGGGCATATAGCAGAAGAGTCAAAAACAAGATGTTTGGAGTAGGTAACTAGATGTGGAAGGTAAGGTTGCCTTTGGGACTTAATGACCAAAAATTTAGCAAGTGTTTTGCCAATTGGGAAGGGCCAGTTGAAGACCTATAAATTAAGAAATGTGGTGTTTACTACTTAAGAAACTTGGATGGAGAGCATCAGAATTGCTCCATTAACGTGCAGTTCTTGAGGCCTACAGACCAACGGTCTAGAAGGCCGCAAAACACAAACAAGACCTTTAAAGGCGAGAGGTCATGGCCAGCAGCCTAAGGTAGGCCGACGACCACTATGAGGTTTGTCGTAACATTCAAAAGTTGTAAAAGTTGCAACAACAAGATCGAAATGGATGAATAACGTTGCAAGTTTTATTCATGGAATTTTGTACGATTCAGTGAATACGATTTGCAAAATACAAGCAGAACAAAGTGCTACTTTTGGAGTGTTTTCGTCCTAGTTTAAAGATGACAACTTATGCATCGAAGACAAAGAAAGGAGTAGTGGTGGAGGAGAAATCTTGGGTGTAAGAAGCAGAGTATAGACCTCTGACACAAGCCTTCCTAGTCAATAAGCTTCACTAACTTATAGGCATTCCCTAGTCTCCCCCTCCCAATTCTAGATGAGTACTAAAGTAACTCATCCTATGGCCCATCTAAAGATCAAATAAGGGAAATAGCATTTGGTCGTAAGATACACTAAGAGCCAGATGAAGTATATTCTTCCAATTTCGGTAAGTGCATGTTGTAAACCTATGTTGCCTTACCCCTAAGAAAAGGATCAACAAAATGATTTAGAATTGCAGGCACAAGGAGGCACTTAGATGGAGGAGGAACATGAAGTAAGTTGCTAAACTTAGAAACCAAATTACAATCATCTTAGGAACACCATTCCTCGCAACATCAAAATGCTTTAATTAACTGTCGAAGTAGTGTCATGAAACTTTTCTTTGGGAATATGAGTAGTGAATTTATGATGAGCCTATTAAAGCGCTAAATTAATCAAAATCCTTTTTGTGTTGGAGATTGGTTTTACACACGTAGCACTTGAATTAGTCAAAATTGAACAAAATTCAAATACGTGTGAATGAAATTGAACCAGAGTGAGGAAACACTGCTCTAGGATGCTTGCAATTGATTTCAATATATTTGAATATGCCTTAGAGTAGTGTGTTGAAATGATGAATTTTGGATGGATCTTTTAAAATGTGAATTTGTGTAATTTTCATGATTATTTGTTTTCAGTATTTAATGATTAGAATTGAAAATTGCATTTAATTTTGATCCAAATTCATTCATGCATGCAGTGCATTGAATTGTTCTAGACTAAATTTTCATCGTGCATGCATAAGAAGATTAATTGGAAGTGCAATGAAGTGAGTTGAATTGTAGAAAATATAGGGGCTCTATTTCAAACCTCGCTCGAGTGGCCATGTACCTCACTCAAGCTGTCTACGTCGAAAATTAAAACCGAGAGCTTAAAAATTGGATGTTTAATGGTTTACTCTCATTTCTTTCATTTTTAAGCTAGAACCGACTCCCATACTACCTTACCTATGGCATTTCCAAGTGATATGAGAAGAGGGCAATACCAATCTTCACTATTTCATCATTTGTTTTTGTGGAAAAATGTCTCCATGAGCTAAGAAGAGGGCAAGAGTGCAAGGTTCAGGTAGTAGAGCTCGCTTTCAAAAACCATAGTACCAGGAGTTGTATTGGAGACACTTTTCAATGCGAACTGTGCTTGTAGACCGAGGAGTGAATCACAAGGGGGTAAGTGATACTTATGTCCATTCATTATTTTACTCAAGAGGGTGGACTGAGTTATTTTCACCCCAGTGCCTACAAATGTGGACATTTTCAGAGGATTTTACACACATTAGTGACAATACAGAGGATAGTGAGCATTTCACGACTTATGTCCAAGGTTTGTTCTTCGAGTGTTCAATTGAGCTAATTGCCAGCACCCTACATCTTCCTTGGTTAGGGATTATAGGTTCATAAACCTGATAGTCAACTACAACATTGACCCAAAGACTCATGTCTCCACTTTTCAAACTTCACGAGCCTATTTTCTATATGCTATTGGTACGGTTTTGGAGATAAATTTGTCACGTGTGATATTTTGAGTCATTCGGAGAGCTTTTGATTAGGGGAGGATTACAAATACTCTACCTTTTGGTTCTCTTATCACCTGCATATGTCCTGAGAAGGGTGCTGGTGCATTGGACACTGACTAGTTGATGAGACGAAAGAGACCTCTAGGGAAGGTGTCTCTTAAACAGAGTGAGACACACGTAAGGTATGTGCGCAAACATATGGAAGTATAGGTAGAGGATGATAAGATTGAGGCTGAGATTCATGGTACGACATCTGCAAAACCTGGTACATCGAGTCATCCACCACAAGCTAGTCGATAGCAACAATTATATCTCTTCTCTACCTCAAAGGAAAATAAATCATATTTAAACTATTGACATATCTTGAGTTTGAGAAAACCACGTGTGCTTCAGGTTTCTTGTTATTTCTTTTGCTTTGATTGATTACTATCATTTGGTATATTTGTAACGAGCTAGTTGATAGCAACGATTGTATCTCTCGTCTACCTTAAAGCATCATAAATCAGATTTGAACTATTGACATATTTTGCGTTTGAGAAAACTTTATATGTTTCAGGGTTCTTGTAATTTTTTTTTGCTTTGATTGATTACTTTCATTTGGTATATTTGTAGCGAGCTAGTAGCAATTATTGTATCTCTTAGAAAACCACCACATATGTTGCAGGGTTCTTGTTATTTCTTTGCTTTGATTGATTTTCTTGTTTTTAACCGATGTGTGTGGTTGAAATTGGTTTAGCACTTATCTCCCAACAAAACCCTTTTGTAACTTGCAGTTTGCAATTTTATATTTTTATCTACTACACATGGTAGCACACATGACAAACACAGCAAACAGAGTATTGATACAATTTTTAAATTGCCATAGGGCACAATAGGTGGAGGAGTCTCAGATTGAGATTGAGATTGAGCCATGAATGATCTGCTTTTGATTAAACATCTCCAATTCACTTAGAAACTGAAGTGGACAAAGTAGAAATAAAGATTGAGAGAGAGGTAAAACAATATCTCATTTAAACTCACTCTACTACAATTAAAATCTCAATAACAACATGATTTTTATATTGTGCATAACAAGTAACTTTTCGATAATGTATCCAAAGACAGTCTAATTAGTTCAAGTTACAATTCAACCAGATCAAATTACAATGCAATGCAATAGGATCAATCCCATTTTTTTTTTTTAAGAAATGGATCCTGAATTGTTGGACCATAATGACTAGCAATTCAATCTTATTAAATTGTAACTCGATCACATTAGATGGTGATTTTTTTTTTGGGCAAATTGTACTTTGCACCTTGAAAGATTTCAAGATTTTTATTTTATACTCTCTCAAAGATTAAATTTTTCACATTGTACCTTAAATGTATCAAAAACATTGCAATGTGACCCTTCTGTTAATTTTTCATTAGTTTTTTGTCCGTGTCAATGAGTTGATTTTTGACGGTAAAAAATAACAGAAAGGTTACATTATAATACTTTTGTTACATTGAAGGTGCAATATAAAAAATTTAATCTTTGACGGGACAAAATAAGAATTTTGACATTTTCAAAGTGCGAAAAAACCCTCTTTTTTTTTTTGGATACTCAGATTTTTCCTAACAGAAGATTTTTCCTAACAGAAGAAGTAGCACCCATCTCTAGGGTAACATGAAAGCATTAAAAGTACACACCTTTTTAGTGGTTTGACATGTGCAATGAGAGGGCAAAGTAGATTCATTAGGTCAAAATATGCACCTAAAGTCCAAAAAAGCTCTTACAGGCTTTGAGGATCCTGCCACTTCTATGCATCTTCTTCACAGATCTTGTCTGCATTGCATTCTTGCTGTCCATGCCTTCAAAATCATCATCAGTGGGAGATGCTAATGTTACAAATTGGTTATGAATCCTGCAATAACCCTCAGAAACTGATGAAGATCTTCTCATTGAGAAGGCCTTTTTCACTGCAGACTGAAGTGGTGTTGTGTTCTGTTTGTCAAACCTGAAAATGTGGGATGAAGTTGAAGAAACTGAGCTGTTTCTGCTTAGTTTCATACCAAACCTCTCTCCATTGCCGTGTTCCTCTACTACATTTGATGGGGAGATATGGGTGTTGGTGGTCTTGATCTGTTTGGTTTCATGGATTTTGGAGGTGTGGTTTGGACTAGTGTTTTCAGTGAATTTTGGGGTTTGAGGGAAAGTTGAGAAATCTGATATATCTATGGATCTAGATTTGGTGTTCTTCACCAGTTTGATCTTGGTATACCCTTCCATTCTCTCTCGCTCTCTCTCTCTCTCTCTCTCTCTCTCTCCTGCTTTCTTTGGCTAAATGGGTTCTTAGAAATTGGGAGGGGATATATTTGGAAGTTATCCTAGTCTTTGGAAGTTAACGGCAGGGGTAGAAGCAAAGGTAGAGCTCATGCGAGATAGTGAGTGTCTAGGCCAAGTTGCACTTTGACTCCCTCCACTATCATGTTTCTCACTCTATAACTTCAACTATGGTTACTAGTTCTACATTGTACCATTGATTAACGGCGTTATAAATTTGAACGTCGAACCATGTAATGTTGGTTTTATTTTGATCCGACAATTGGGCATTTTGCATAAAAAAGATGCACATCTGTTTTTGGGACAATATGAAACCAATTCAAATATTTGAACAAACAAAAGTAGAAATTTAATAGTTCACGGGACAATACGAGATCAAAGTCATAGTTGAGAGGCCAAAATATGATTTTCAATATATATATATATATATAGTTAGATGAAGGTCATGACTCATAGGAATGGGACCTAGGGAAAGGGGCAAACTATGGGGAATAGAAGGTGAGAAGAGACTAGAAAGATGGTGTACATGAGAGTACATGCTCTTAAGATAGATTTGAAGATGAGGTGAAAGTAGCTGGATGTTATATCTGATAGTGTCACAGGCTGGAGGAGGTGGACAAATTTGGAGATACTTGGGTAATTTTGCTTGATTTAACTTGCTTTTTTGCCATAATCAGCAAATTGATATTTGTGGTGTGAAAGAAAGGCTACAACTACACATGGCTGTTTGGAGGATAATGTTTTATATTTGGTGTAGGATACCACCAGAAAATACCAAGTACTCATCAAATATCACATAACAGTGTCGTATGATATATATCATTCATAAAATATTATACATTTTCAATTAATTGTCACCACTTGTAAAGTTAGAATTTTTTTTCCACAAAAATCAAGGTGTCCCATGCATCAGTGTTATGACAATTTCTCATTGGATACGACACTGCCACGTGATACCCAATAAACGCTGAATATTTTCTCGGCATACCACAAATACAAATGTGTCACCTTCTTGAAAATAAAGATAGATAGTGAACTTATGCAGCCGTGTGATTTTTATGACATCTTTTAATTGAGAGGTACACGCATCTCGGACTCGATTGCTCTTCATTACAATTTTATTCCATTTCAGCCGATGACAGATTAACTATCATAGATTCGAGTGGACTTTAAGTAAACCCCCTCCCCCATACATTGTAAGTTTTTTACCATTGAGTGAAAATATAATCAACAAAATCAGAATTCACGAGCCGGAGTGCATGCAATTCTATGGCTAAAAAGTATTCCGTGCGAACGCAGCCGGTGAGGGACTGTTCTAACTTAACCAAAGTCTTCCGTTCGAGATTTGAGAATACAATTGCGTTCGATAGAGAGAGTTTTGCCGCCTTTATGGTCCTACCCGGCTTAAATCCGAATTAATCAAAGCCTGTTGTAACTTCCTGGTCCTACCCGGCTTAAATCCGAATTAATCAAAGCCTGTTGTAACTTCCGAATACCGAATAGTCTGACCAAAAAATAATAAATAAAATAAAAAGTATTCCGTGCAACCAGAGAAGCCCCGTTTATTGGTTACTTACTGCCTTTGTTTGTAACCCTTTTCAGCATTTACAATTTACATCTTTTAACAAACGGCTCATTGGATGGATCGAGTTTATTTTTGTCATAATAAAAACTCAGATACAAATCAAACCTGTCTAACCCAACACAATTACGTAAAAATTAGTGGTTTCCTAATCAGAACAACTCAACAGCAAAGACGGCAGATTCAGAGTTACTCAACTCAACCAAACCTTGTCCCAACATTTTTGGAGTCAACTACGTAAATCCCCTTTCGCAACCATTGTGTTCTATCATGGGCCATATTCACTATTAAAAACAAATGCCAGCAATGAAAAAGCAGAAAAAAAAATACCCATAACAAGGGAGTGAAACTTATGTCAGCCAGAGTATAGTGATAAAGAACATTTTTACAGTCTGATTTTATTACTCAGCCCCGATGCCCATATTCTCTTTGAAATCAAAAGAATTCCTAAATTAGCACTGCGGATATAACGACTATCTATCTTAACTTCTTCGAAGAAAAAAACAAAAACAAAAAAAAAATCAACCAAATGCAGTGCCAGTTAGTCTCAAAATTTGAACAAGAATTAAATGAAAAAGGACCTTGATGTTTTAAATTTCAAGAGAAAAACGGATCTCTGGTATCTTGATAGAGACTTCCCCAGTATATTTGCCGGCATAAAAACTGCAGTCATACGACTTGGTAGTTTTCTGTGGATAGCTGTGCCCTACGAGAAAACTTGGGAGCGGGTCCACCTTTCAGTGGCAAGATATTGACAACCTACAAAAATTTACGGTCAGTTTAGGTACATAAACCCCAAGGAGGAGTGCGCTAAGTCAACTCCGATGAGCAGCATGCTAGCAGCACATAGGCACACATCTCCTTAAATGCAAAACTCGAAAAAGAAACAAATAGGAAGTGAAAGAAAAAGATTATTACATTCAAGTACTAAAGCGAGATGCATTCTTTTTTTTTTTTTTTAAAGTGAGACGTATTCATATAACATAAAGCCAGCAAAATTATTAACATTAACAATCTATAGCACAGTCAGCAGACGTGCACCCTGATTACAGCCAATGTCATGGCAAGTTAATTTGGAGAGGTTTCCAAGCACATTTATTATTCAGCTGAATTTTCACTACATATGAAATTCACCAGGGAGAAGTCATTTTTGCAGTGGGAAGGGTTGGGGGCTCAAGTTCAATACATCAGCCACACAAGTAGAAAAATTTTGGCAAGTTTTTCTAACCTCCACACTTAATCCAACGAATTCTACAACTTCATCACTTTAACTCTTTGAGATACATTCTTACACTTAATGTTTATACTACTGAAAGTTGGTGTGTGGGAGAGCAAACGTAACACTAAAACAATTAAAATAAACATTTCATAGGGTGGATTACAAAATCGATTTCATAAAGCCTTGCAGAATTCTGCCACTATCTATAATATTATTGATTCAAATAACAGTACGAAACAAACCTTTAGGTCACTGAATGTATTGGCAGCCGTAAAACACAGGGAAATTGGAAAGAAGACTGATGAATCTGCTGGAGGAACAACAAACTCCATTGATCCACTGCCAATGTTAGCAATACCATATCAGACCCCAAACAAGCACTATTCAAAGCAGACTGCATTAAAAACTAAGAGTGACAAAAAACTATAAGCCGACCTGCGATTTGAGTCATCGATGAGAAGTATGGACCATTCCAAAGTGGAATTTCTGGAGTCATACCTACAATTGGAGTATATGCAGATGCTAAATACCCACATTCATGAAATGGATAGAGAATCTATTTAGACCAGCTCAATAGGGAACACAATGTATTAAACATTCCACAAAAAAAAAAAAAAAAAAAAAAACGAGATCACAAAAAGAAATCTGTTCATGTGCAATTTTATTTTTTTGGTAATAATGGATACTTTGATAACATGATTGTAGGAGTACCATTGACTAACCAAAAAAGTTGCATAACATGAGCTGAATATGCAGTGTGTTGGGCCCATATCCTAGAAGACAGCATTTCAAAAGTACATATTTTGGAAAAGCCATTTTCCAAATGTATCTATGCCATCTGCTCCACGAATAACCATAAGTGGGCATTCCCAGAGTAAATGATTTCTAGAATTGGCCAACACCACCAAAGAGTCCAAACAAGTGAAAAGTATCTTATCTTATGCATACAGATCCTCTTACTCCCAAAGCTTGTGATATATAGCTTACCTAATAAATCTGTCCCCAATTCTAGACACTGCTACTGAAAGCGTGGTGGAGTTTTAAACAATGCCATTCTGATCTAAATAACCACTCTCTCGAAAAATGACTTCAATATTAGCTTCAATCTGAAAACTCGACGAATAATTCTTGCTCCAAGATACAAATTTTGGGTATGTTCTCCAAGACACTGATCGCCAATACTAACCATAAGAACTACAAAAGTAGTAGAACTTCACCTCGACTCCCCATCAATCTGCTTGACACTCGGTGCCTCTCTAAGAGCCGGAAGAGGTACCGAAATGATAACATTTTGCAAATCAAACATTGATGAAGCTTCATACTCAATGCTGACATAGGTTTCATTTCCAGAAACAGAGGGCCAACAGTTAACTGAAAAAATAAATACAAGTCAATGAAAACAAAATATAACCAAAATCACATAACCAAAAAAAAAAAAAAGTGGCATGAATTGCAAACTCACTTGTCAATGGCACAACTGACTCATCTACACTTTGCATTCTCCACTTCAAGAGACCAACACCATCACCAGCTTGACCAGCAGGAAATGGCCTGTTAGGATCTTTAAGGCCTAGAATATTTTCATTGGAAAACAAGTCTTTGTTGATGTTAGGGTGTGTCTTGAAAAGGATCCCTGGGTTACCCCCCGTCTCAATCTGAAAATAAGCACATCATAACATGCATGCAGCGTTAGATAAAATATGAGAATCTACAGCTGCACATAATGGTCATAAACCTTCAAAGACACAAATACCATAAAAGCAAATATGAAATTTCCCACGTAGAGTGTAACTATTCGGCATGAATTTTTCTGTTAACAGTGTAAACTTCTTGTTTTTAGACATGGCAACAATGTAAAATGTACATTCATCAAGTCCCGAGACACCTACCAAGACGAATATAGACACACACACAAAACACCTGAATTATCCTATTTTATTTGGATCATATGTTTCATCAAATTCCTAACAATTGTTCCTATTCACAATCTATCATGGTATTACTCAGAACTTCTATTCAACGAATTGATGATGGCACAGACCATTACTTTTGTTCTCTTTACAGATACAGCCGAGATACAACTTGTGGTGTCTACTTAAATATGAATCATTGGGTGTACGCAAGCACACGTGCACCTGCACACAACACACATACAACACACACACACACACACACACACACATAGAGAGAGAGAGAGAGAGAACCTGAACTTGGATAAGCCCATCATCTTGATTAAGTATTTGGAGAGACAAGGTTCCCTGAACATCAAAGTTGCTGACCCCACCATCTCGCTTCAGTGTTACATTGAGCTTTTCTTCCACCGTAAGTGTCACAGGATCAGTTAGTGGTGGAACAGCAGGTCTGGATTGTCCAACACTGGGACGAACGTCCTCAACAATCACTTCACCTTCAGCTTTCAAAGATTCCAAAAACTGATTTGTCCTTTGGGTTTTACCCAGCTGCATACCAAGACCTTTTGGAGGAGCAGTAGCAGATGCAGGTGGACGACCTGATGATGCAGATACATATTGTCAAACATGTCTCACAGAACAGTGTCCAATCAATGATTTCATAAGGTAATTGTAAAAGAAGAAACATATTTGTACATAACAGGGATGACCAACACATTCTGATAAGTAACCACATAAATTAATAATTGCAGAAGCATAATCTTATAATTGGAGGACAGCAGTATAACATTGCGGGACTAGCAACTGATCTCAGGAGTCTAATGCATGTGCCTAGCATTTAACATGATAATGTCAAGAAAGCACTTTTCTAATTCTCACCAAACAGGTGCAGATGCTATGCATGGAAATTGTAGGCTGTCAAAACTAACCAACAGATGTGGAAAGCCAAAGTTCTATGCATTCATTCACATGACTTCTAACTCTGCTGAACCAAGAAACACTGTTCACAGAACATCTCATCAATGTTTGACAGAACACCAAATAAAACAGTTCTACAATTCAATTTGTATCCTTATACTAAAAAACCTTCATAGCCTATCACCTTCATCCAAATGAAATGTCAGCATGTGTTTTCTTAAGGTCACTTTTCACACTAGTTGGAAGTTTGGCACATATATAACTTACATGAAGCAGTGCATACTAGCAAACCATTAGGCCTTATTATACAAGTCTGCTAAACAAGGTACTCAAAAAAAACTGACGTAGGCTAGCTAAGCCATAAAAAGAGGAAGACAAAAACCTTCCATTTCTTTTCTTTATATTCCTAAGAGTAAATTGTCTATGCATACACATAAAACAAAAGGTTTCATCTTAAGACGACAAATGCAGATCATACGGTACTTCATTCATATACAACCAATACATAGTCTCTCCATCTTTTTTTTTTTTTGCTATTGCATAGTCTAATCCATTTTGCTACAGGCTTCCAATGGAAACTAACACCAATGAGCACCAAGCAAAACTCGGAAATATAATCATATTTTCGTGGGAGGATCCCAATACCGCCAGGCTGACTCTCAAAGCAAAAGAGGATTTAGCCTTGATACAACAATGCCCAAAATTCTAAACCTAAGGAGTATTTCAGAAGTTACAAAAATCATTTAACCAGATCCTGAAGAATGTTTTCATCACCTCCGGAATGGCAAATAATCACATCCAAAACACATATAAACAAGAATCTTTTATATACAGATGATAAGCAGCAAACAAACCTTTGGGCTTGCTCGAGAAAGAGTCCACATCAGTGTTTACTCCAAACCCAGAGGCGCTTCCAAAACCACTTCCAGTGCTCGATATGCTTATATCGCTGCCAAAACCACTTTCAATTCTTCCGGAACCCATCGACGTGAGTCCTCCTTTCTCGCCTCTATTCTTTTCAAACTGCACGGTAGTTGCACATCATCTTATCATGTCAAACAAAGTTTACAAAAACCAACCAAAAAGTGATGCAAGCAGAACCAATGCAGGCGACTTTTATGCCCAAGCAATTACCTTGCTTTTTGTAATTTCAATTGCTTTCTGTTTCATTATATCCTTAGTTTCATTAATTTTGCTCTGTAACACTAATTTGTGCAACTTCTCCTCATGACTCTCCATCTCACAATATTGCTTCACTTGGGCAATGGTAACATTCTCCTTGTGCCCAATGGTGATAACCTCGTCAAATGCAAAAATCAACTCAAAAGCTGTCTTGCAAATGCCCTCTTCATCTAAAGAATAAGAATACTCAGGTACCTAAGCATGGTTAAGGAATCAACCTTTCAAAATCATGATGCCCAAGAAAAAAAACATTATGTAACTATGGACAGTTGCATGCAGTCCGTGAAGTCAAGAGAAAAAACATAACATACGAGCAGAAAGCACACTTTGCTATTTTTACCACATCTTCTCATCTATCCAAAAAACTGCTTATGATTTTTTTCTTCTTTTTTAGAAATCAGAATCAACAAGCTAAATCATTAAGATGAGTGATACAACTATCTAAGACTAGATAGATGTAAATATCAAGAAAACCTTCAGTCCAATAAAACTCTAATTCTCATAAACAACATATAGAGGATACGATCTTGGAGAGCAGCCTCAGTGTGTCCAGATCTTCCAAGATATTGCTCTGTTTGTTTGTGACAAGCAACAAATACACAGACTCTAACAGCTGGTATACATAACGCACATTTTCAGTCTCGATATAAGTGTGTTGTTTCCCTGTTCCGACCAACTTGGGGAAAGCTGCAAGAAGCCCCTCAATTCTTATGCGAGACATATCAACGAACTGCCTTGAAACAAGGGCTACATAAAGATATGGGATAAAAGAGTAAGTGGCTGTGAATCAATCTAGTACAATTGTAACCAAACAAGAACACTAAACATGACAAACAAGTTAGCAGACTTAATAATGGATTTATTTCAGTCAAATTTCAAAAGGAAAAAAAAACCAGTTGAGTCATTTTCCTCTAACCAATACCCTTCAAAACGAACATAAAAAGGAACAGAAGAATTTCATATAGAAACTAAAAGATTAAAGTGTAAAAGCACTTCAAACAAAAAGAGACATAAACTAAACGATAACTCCAAAGATAATCTGAAGGAAAAACATCCTGAACTGAACCCGAGATGCATGAAGGATAATTATACAGGTACATCAAAATGAGTATAGGTAACAACATACTCACCTCATTCAAACTCTCAAAAGGGGATGCCAATACCAACATGGCCAGATGTGAACCATGCAACAAAAAGAAATAATAATGCAACTTACCTAAAAACACAAGGAATAAAACATTCTATTTTAACCAGTTTGGTCCCCATACCAACTATGCTGGGAGGTGGATTGCACCAAGTAACTGTCACTCATATTCGATCTCACAGCTACAAAGTTATTAGTCTGAGCATTTTACCGCTGCACCATGTGATGACCTCTCCAATATTAATAAAAAGCAGTAATTAACTACACAAAAAAAAAAAGTACCCCTTTTCCAATACAAGAGATTAGGCCAAAGAAAATCTAAGGCAAATACCGACAACTTAGCTAGGAGAGTGTAGAGTTGAGCTAGCTGGGCTTTGATGCTCTTTTATTGTTAAATGTTCAACCCTAAATACCCTATAGAAGAGCAAAACAAAAGAAATTCCCAATATCTGCACCTTCAGAGGCCATAATATGTAAGAAACATACAAACCACACATGGTTTAACAAGGTCCCTTCAATTTCTTTTAAGGCACATGAGATGAGAAAATGGTCATGTTTCACCTCATGCCCATGGTACATAATCTGACAAAACTTTAACAGCCACTAAAGCAACTAATAGTATGTTTGGTAGAATGGATGGAAAATAGGAGGGATGGAAAGAGAGAAAGAATGCATTTTCAATCCTTTGAGAAAGGAAATATGTTTTCCATCCTCCTTATTTGGTAGGAAGAATGAAAAAGTAGGAGAAATAAATTTTTTATTGAATTATACGTACGAGAAAAAAATTAAAAGAAAAATATAACATATTAAATTAATGAATATCCTTGTAATTGCATAAAACATATAGTTAAAAATATCCCAAGGTCCCACTACTATGCTGGTTTGTCTTGAGAAAATAAAAAGTGTGAACCCCACCTTTATTTTGCTATTTGAGAAGCACCTATCACTTTCTGTTCAAATAAAAATCAGTCCCTTCAAGGGGCATTGTGGTAAATCCAACTATTGACCAACTTTTCCATCCATTTTCCGCCCAAATTGGGGGATTCACTTTCCATCCCATTTTTCTTTTATCTCCATTTTACTTCTCAACCAAACAAAGGAAAACCTCTCTTTCCCCTCCACTTTTCATCCATCCAATTTTCCCTCAAACCAAACAAAGGATAAGTCAGCTTAAACAACATGAACCAAGATCATGGTAGGGTACATCACTCAAGCTAACAATTGGTGGTTGCTTAGTCCAAATATATCATGACAAAGTACTTTTTGGAACTACTTAATTTCAAGTTTGAACCTACCCGAGATCTTAAACACTCCAGTCAACCTTAGGTTTTCCGCATTGCTTCGCCTCTCTACGCTTCACAGACAACTAAAGCAAACTAAGTTACGCCAATAGACAACAAGTAGAGAATTGACTCTACTGTAGGGTGCAATCTCCAACACACTTTTTTTAGCCCCCATTTGAAACCATAATTAAGCAAGAAAGTTGTAATCAATATGATAGTAATAGCACATGCCACATGGGCATAATCAACATTGAAAATGACGTATAATATTGTCATCAAGAAAGTAACTTAATATTGTTTGGAAACATATAAATTCTTAAGAAAAAGTCAATATGTGGGATGTACGGAAGCAGCAATGACTAACATAATTTAGGATATTGAAAGCAGCTACCCCCAAAAAACGCATAACAATCGAGGCATGAGAATTTATATGTACAAGGGCACCATGTGAATGCAATAATTTATTTTGCATGTCCACTTTTAGATTCCACATAAATAGTTTCCAAACTATATTTTGTAAGAGATGGAGGAGGCACAAGTTGAGTAAATGAAAGTAAAGGCATTGTCCAAGTCAGTTTTTGAGGTCAGTCTTAGAAATGATTCACCGTGATTTTGGCAATACCACCAATACATTTCATGTACTATTGTCTTGGTCTCAAACTTCTCAATGTGTCCTTCGGTGTCATGGTGATCTTTAACTAAAATCCATTGCATTTTTCTCCGACAAGATTACAAAGATATTATGTTCTTCTGGTAGTTTAAACCGATGACACCCCAGGCTTTTAATAACCATGCTTTGATGGCTAGCAATGTCAACACGCACAATACATAATGGGCAATTGTAATATCTAATTTTGTTTAACTTAGTTTGTCACATGTAGATGACACTACATAAAGAGAAATCAGGAAATATAAGCAAATCCATATTTATTTGACAAAATGGTACATTTGAGCATTGGCTGATAACATGAGTAAGGACCTCACCTTTGCCAGATTTACTTATAATGGAAGCTGCTAGAACAACCTGCATCACAAATAATGAGAAGGTGCAGCAAAAATTTTCATAAAAAATTAAATCTAAATCTGAATGGAAAATAAAAAAATTGCTAACAAATCAAAACTGGAGTCCAAACTCATAATTTACAGCAACAGAAGCAATCTCAAACCTTTGAAAATTTTCATCATTTAATTACTAATCCAAATTGCCTCTCAAAAATAATTTTTTTTCTGCAGAAGATAATTGCCACTTCAAATATTTACAAGAATCAAAAAGAAGAAACAAAATTACCATATTGATCCTCTAGAAATCCAACGGACACTGATTCAGAAGCTAAACAACAGGTTGTATGCAACACCTGGAATATGAGAGCAGGTTCAATTTTGCGAAGCCAACAAAAACAAAGCATTTAAAATTCTCCAATCAATGTGCAATATGAGAAAACTTATAGTTTAAAATTACACATCCTATTATAATCTCACATTGGTTAAGTATGAGATTAGATGTGTGTATATCTGGTTTTGAGGGTCAAGTTCTACCTACGGGTTCATAATAATTAATATCAGATCATCTAGCTACCACGTCAATTATGGGATAAAACCCAACGACTCTTTATAATCGAGTAATAGAAGGAGGGCGACGTGCAGGGTGAGTTAAGATGACTTAGTATTATGTATGGGCATGGTATTATGTCTTTGAATACTGATAGATGAGTGGAGCCGCAAGAGAAAGGGCTACCCTTGGGAATGGGCACGCACCGGGGACATATGTTACGATCCTACATTGATTAAACATGAGAAATGTGGGTATATAAACCCTTGGGACCTTCCTTCCCAAGCTGGTTTTGAGGTGCCAGTTCTACCATTCGTAACACATTTAAACTTAGATCTCATGACGTACACTATAATTGTTACAGATTGCAGCAATGAGAGCAATGGAGAGAAACCTTTTAACAAAAATTTGGGAAAATTGAGTGGATCTTACGGTGAATTACATTATTATTGCAAATTAACAAAGAAAATTCAGATCAATAGCCTTAGATCCAACGCTAACCGAAATGATCGTCGTAATATGAACTATAACGGGAAGAGATAGATAACTTTAGAGAGAGGAGAGGAGAGGAATCGGTGGAAAGATCGATACTTACCTGAAAATGAAGATCTGTGGAACCAACTACGAAACCAGATTCTTCAGAAGAAGCGCGACGACGAAGGAGAGAGAGAAAATAAGCGACTTGTGCTAGTTTCAGTTTCGTTTTTTAATACTCGGAAGTCGGAGTTTTTAACGCTGTGTGGGGGTTTCGTCGTGGGCCCTCTCTGATCTTGCCACGTCACAGGGGAGGTTAAGAAAAATTACACTTTGCACCTCTTAAAAAAACTATTTCATCTCACCCCCTTTATATTATGAAATATATTAAATAGACTTAAAAAAACTTGACTTAACGAATCACTATCATTGAATAGATAACGAGCTTCAATAAATAGTAGGACCCACAATTAAATCAATGATAAATATAACAGTCATGTCATTAAGTCAAATTTTTAAGTATATATAACATTGCTCATATATTATTGTGTTCTCATAATTTTTGGACAAATTTCACTTTGTATTTTAAAAAATTTTCTTTGTATCTTAAAGATTAAATTTTTTTATATTTTACCCTCAATTTATTAAAAAAAAATTATAATATAATCTTTTGTTAACTTCTGTTACATATTCTGTTAATGTTAATATGATTATTTTTAAAGTAACGAGGAATGAAAGTTAACAAAAAGATTACATTGTAACACTTTTAATATATTGAGGGTGTAATATAAAAAATTTAATGTAAAATAAAAAATTTTAAATCTTTTAAAGTACAAACTGAGTTTTCCCATTAATTTTTTATTAGGTATTGAATAAAATGTAACAAAATCGCATTATTTAAGTGACAAAAGAACACTACCTGAAATGTAATTTGTAAAATTAAAATGATGTGAAGCCAATAACAAAAGTTAACTTTGCCCTGTTTCTTACAAAAGTTAAGTTTAACCTTGTTTCTAGATTTTTTTAAACTTCGGCAATACGGGGGTATAATTTTATTAATATTTAAAAAAATAAAATTATATTTAGTTAGGTGGACGTAATAAGTATGGATGTTAAAATATGACACGATTTGTTAATAAGATACGAAGTTAGAGGATTTGAGTATTTTTTAAGTCACTCGTTTAGTAAACGAGTGGACCTGACATGCATGATTAATAAAAAAATCGGGTACGAGTGAAGCTAATCAGAAGAAATACGCAATATGACTTGTTTATACATCGTTCATACACGACACGAATCCAATATGATACTATTTGTTAGACATGAATTAATAAATGAATCGGATATGCGTAAAATATTTTTTGACACGAACCCGCCTCACCCGACACGATTGACAGGCCTAGTATTGAGTTTTTCCCCTCGAATGCATCCTAAGCTACATCGTTTTAAAAAAAAATAATGAAAAATAAAGTCTAAAAATGCATGCAGCTTACATATACTTCCAAAGGAAAAAGAAAGATCTGTTTTAAACTAGTAATGTCCTAATCCGTCGCCCCTGAAGATTTCATTTGCAGAGAAACCCTTTCTTCCTTAGAATACCTAGATGGAGTTGGTCTTGAAAATGAAGCATTGTAGCTGTAAATGGAAGATCTTGAATATTATGCCAGATCCGAAAAACTTGAAGATTATGCACTCCTTTGGACACTGAGAAACCAAGAGTTAGTTACCAATTTTCGGTACTTTTGAAACAATAGTATTGATCTACGACATTTTTAAACTTAATTATCAAACTACAATACATTTTTAAAAAATGGAGTTATTGACCTCGATTTTTAGAGTTAACTCGTTAGACTTAGAATGCTTTTTTTGCATATGATTGAATCACTTAAGAGCGGAATTTGTTGAATCTGCTTTTAATAGCCTTGTTTTTATTAAAAAATTAGTCATAACTCATGTCTAAAGACACGATGGAACAAAAAATTTGAATTCTAAAAAAATCGATATTACTATATTAAATAATAATTTTTTTTCTTCATTTATTTGATTAAATCATTCAAATTTATTTTTACCCATTATTTTTTTTGAAGATATTGATAAAATTTTCTCAAAATATGTAATTCGATAAATTTTTTTAACAGATCTATACTATCGTATATGGATAATATCTGAAATAAAAATTATGTTAAATTACAAATTAATCAAATATTAAATAGTTGAGCATGTGATAGAAATGAGTGATGTGATGGATTTTTTTTTGGGGGGGGGGAATGTATAGAGGATAAAATTCAACTTCTTATGTGTTTTATTATATAGATTTGTATAAATATAAGGAAAAATTTCATCCAAATCTCCTATAGTTAGGTTTAAATTTAATGGCACCTCCTTTCAATTTTGAAATTTCATTGTCACTCTCTACTAGTGATTATCGGGTGTAATTGAAATTTCATTGTCACTCTCTACTAGTGATTATCGGGTTACACCGTTAATGACAATGATTGATTTATAGAAATATTTTTGACTATTTTATAGAGTAAATTTTATCCATACTCTTTATAAATAAACCTAACTTTAACAACACCCCCTTTAAATAGACCTAACATTAACAACACTCTCTCTTGATTCTGAAATTTCAATACACTCTTTTTTAGTTCTGTTATATTAGCATTTATGTTGATCAATTTAATATTAAATTTATCAAATTAATTTTTTTTATTTAATTTAAACTAAATTAACATTTCATCTCATCAAATCAACGCAAAATTGATATTTAATTTTATCAAATTAGCATTTAGTTATATTAATTTAATATTTCATTTAATCAAATTAATATTATTTATTTAATTTAATATTAAGTTATTATTTATTTTTATCAAATCAACATTAAATTGACATTTAATTTTATTAAATTAAACTATTTAATTTATTAAATAAAATATTAAATTCCATTAATTTAAAATTTAACCTTATCAAATTAATGTCATTTCTTTAATTTAACATCAAATGAACATTCAATTTTATTAAAACAACATTCAAATTTATTCAATTAACATTAAATTCAATCAAATTAATACTAAATTAATATTTAAATTTATCAAAATTAAGATAAAATTTATTCAATGAATATTAAATTTTATCAAATAATTTTAAAGAAGTATGATGTGTGAGGAGCGGTCGGGCGACATTGTGGAGAACATATAATAGTAGAAGAATTAGAAATGAATGAGATTCTGATATTGACTTTATCAATTGTAATTTTTATTATAAAAAAAATATTTTTAACTATAAAAATTATTATGATAAAAAAATATAAAAATTATAAAACCTTGATTATGTAACCAAATGAGTGATAATATGATGACTAATATTATAACAAAGTTATAATATAACGTTTTAAAATAAAAATTCATTGGGATAATATAATGATCAAAATTACATTTGTTGGCTGGCTAGCGCATATATGATAGGGAAAGAATTGATGACATTTTAGTCTATTTACATATTAAAGGGTAATTTTAGTATTTTCACAAAATATATAATTAAATCATTATTTTATCTACTGATAGAGACAAAAATTATTGTTATAGGGGTTGTCATTGAATTTAGACTCAACTATATGGTGTTTAGATAAAACTTTCCATAGATATAACATGTAGATATAGTATATATTCGATCTTTGTACTATATATATGTACAGTAAAGATGTGTGTGTAATATGAACAGTAAAAATGGAGAGCAACTACGTTAGAATAGAATTTTGGAGAGACATGTGTCTCAGTTTGAAAAGAGAACCATGAAAGATGAGAGTGTAAGAGATAGTCAATGTCTTAATATAGAAAATGATCCCTTAGCATAGGAAATAAAATCAGGGAAATAATGATAAGAGTTGTAATCTGTATTTTAAGGAGAGAGAGACAGAGTTGACGAATGAGAGATCGCTTAATTGCAGGATTTGATTGAATTGGGGAATTAAATTTAGAGATATTAATTTTGGAAACTAAAAGTTTTTAGCGGCAAAAAATTTTCAAGAGTTAATATAGTACGTCGGATCTAAATGATCTGAGACGTCAATAGCTTGAGACAGTTTGAAATATCATCGACTGTTGGATGATGCCTTTTTTTATCTCGAAACGATCTGAATCGTTCTTGGTTTCTTAAATTCAAAATCGTTCTACTTATTATATAGATGGATTCAACAACTCTACTTTTTAAAAAATGTTATAATTTGGTAAATAAGTTCAAAAATTGTGCTACTTTTATGGTAATTTGCTCATGAATCATTCCATCTTTGTTTGATTATTGGAGCTACAATTTGAAAAATCAAACATGATTAAGCATCAAAACAAGATTAGAAGTGTGTCACAACAAACAAAATAAAGCTAAACAAATATATGTCAACAAAAACAAAAACAAAAAGTCAACGAGAAAAATAAAAAGTATTTTAGTACAGGCTATTAATAAAGGAAATTACACCCTTTTTTTCTTGTCCATCAAAAGTGGGGTTGGTGAATATGCTTTTATTTAAAAGCGGATTCAACAACTCCATTTTGTTAAAAGTGTCGTAAATCGTAATTTGATAAATAAGTTTAAAAGTTGTGCCACTTTTATGGTAATTTGCTCATCAAGCATTCCATCTTTCTTTGATTATTACAGTTTGAAAACAAATTCCTCAATTGAACACAATTCCATATATATTAAATAATTTGAAATATGAACAAATTTGATATTTGGATTAGTAACATTTTTTGTCTTTAAAGTATATATGTTTTATCAGTTTAGTCCTCGTTACATCAATTTTATCAATTTGACCCCTAAAATATTCAATACGTGTCATTTTGGTCCCTAATCAGACAATTCGTTAAATTTTTTTACGGAAGTGATTATGTGTCATTATTTTAGACGATATCACATGTCTAACACGTGATCATTTTGTCAAAAATTTAATGGTTTGATATTTTCAAATAAATTTTGAGTTACTTTAGGAACCAAATTGATAAAATTGATATAATGAGGACTAAATTGATAAAAAAAAATGCATACTTTAAGGATCAAAATATTATTAACCCTTGATGTTTTGTAATAGGAAAAAACTATGATAAAAAAGGTCTAACTTGATTACACGAGGTTTATGATTTAATTGATAATACTAAAACAAAATAAGATTGTTTTGGTTCGGGGCATAGTAAAATCTCTTTTTTTTTTAGGCAGAATAAGAAGG